ATGCTTTCGGCGTAATCGCACTGATTTGTTGTGATGCCAAGAATCAGGGGTGTGCGGCATGCTGGCAATAGCACGAACGCAAAGTCTGCCTGTTGAAAACAACAATAGAAAGTGGTAAAGCAAAACAAAAGCGGAAGACACTGCGGCGACAGTAAGAACAGCGGAAAATTAAATAGTACATACATATGTATGTATGTATATGTAAATGCATGTATGCATATTAAACGAGGTGAATGAGTACATTTGTGTGTAAACGTATCTATTGTTGCTGTTGTTCTTGCTAACAAGCACATACACACTTGTAATAACTACATTGCATTTGCTGATATCTACAATTTGCAGCGAATGTACGTGAAAGCTGACCTTTGGTAGTGATAATTGAGCGAAAAGCTTTACTTTCTCTACTCGAAGCAAGCATAATGAGAGCCGGGAATAGAAAGCTTAACGGTTTAATAAATATTCGTTTGAGTAGAGAGATAAGAGCTTTGTGAAACATACATATATGCGTATATATATATATATATATATATATATCTTTGCACTTATGTACATACATACATATTAATTGGTATATTTAACAAAATGCATGTTGTGAGAGGTCGAAAGGCGCAGGGAAAGCCGAAAATACAAGGGAAGTGAAATATATATGTATATGCTAGCTTAAATAACATAAAAACAGATATGATTAAACGAAAAGAAAACAAGCAATTTTTAGCAAAAAAACTGACTTCAATTCTCATAAAAAAAAATATAATTATATATATATATTTCATGATGGTCCAAAGTTATGCGGCAACATACATAAAAAAAAAAACAATAAAAAAATATTTATATTCCGACGAACTGATAACCTTCTCCTTTCTTGAAGTCGGTTAAAAATTTAAAAGAATGAAAAAAATTATAAAATAAAACTAGGGATCGGACATTACAGTTATTGATAGTTTTCATCATGGAAAAATTCACTATAAAGGAAATGTTCTACAACTAAATGATACATACCAATCGATTTCTTTTTTCACCGAGACTCAAATTCAAAAATAAATTCTAATTTTCAATTTTTATGCAAAATTAAAAAATATAAAAATTATTTTTGAGTTTTATATTATAAATCCAGAATAACAATTATTTTTGATTTGTATATTATATGTCTTAGATAACAGTTATTGAAGTAATCAATAAAAAACAGTCAGTGACTTTTACTTTTAAAGGTCTTCAATATAAATCAGTGACCGACTTTAATTTTTTAAATCATTCGTATACAAGTCATTAAAATTTTTCGCAGTTAGGAAGGTGCTGGGAACAAAAGTTTACTACGACTTATACAAATGACTCTTATAAGAATGACTGATTTGTATTTATGACTTTTAAATAAAAGTCATCGATAACTGTTATCTAAGACACATAATTTAAAAATTAAAAGTAACTGTTATTTGCAGATTATTTAGATAAAAGTCAAAAATAATTGTTATTTTGGATTTATAAAATAAAAGTCAGAAATAACCGTTTTTAAGGAGTAATTAAATAAAAGTCAAAAAATAATTGTTAAAGAGATATTTTTTCAAGAAAAGTTGTAACTGTTACGGTCCCTGAATAAAAAAAAGGTGTGACTCACTTTGAGAATTAAAAATTAACAGAATTCCAAGTGTTTTTTTTAGTTTATTACAAGTGATTTTTAAGCCAAAAACAAAACCGACTTCAATACTCATATAAAAATTTAAGAGTATCGTTAATTTCTTCATGATTCGGATTTAACCAATTGGTCAAGAAACGCCTCGACAGTCGCTGTTGGGTGCCTCTCACCTCAGGATCGTGTGTCGTTCTTGGAATATTTGAACTTTACTTTTGCCTTCCTTCAACAACCATATGTTAAGGTGAGTTTGGCGACGACATTCCACATCCACATTGCCAGTTTAGATCTGATGAGCCAGTTTCTCAGCATTAGTTGCCAGTAGGTTTTAAATTGATGTCCTCTTTATTTAAATAGCTTTATATAGGTGCGGATTTCATGAGAGTTTGTCATCAAGGATAATTCCCAGATACTTGACTTCATTAAACAAGTTTTTGTTTTCTTATTGACATAAGGGTTATAGCAATTTCTTCCCGAATCAAAAAACGATTAAGTGAGAAGAATTCAAAAAGTTAAAGGCCCGTTTTACCAAGTAGGTTTTAAAATTTATCTAGCCTTTAAACACAAACTTACGATGTTTTCAATAAAAAAAGCGTGTAATATTTCTATCCCAAAAATAAAACGAGGAAAACAACAGCCTGTCTACTAGTGGAATGAAGAAATTGCACAGCTGAGACGGAAACGCATCAGTAAGAGAAGGGAGCTTACAAGAGCCAGACGTACGGGAAATCACACCGCCGCAAATGAAGAAGGGCTAATAGACAACATCGTTAACACCTTGTTTCCCAGCCACCCTCTACGAAAAGAGGAACCTGATCAGGTGAACGACATACCGTTTCCCCTATTTACAAAAGACGAGCTCAAAATAGCTGGAAGAAGTTTTACGAACAAGAAAGCCCTGGACCAGATAACTTTCCGGAAGAAGTTCTCAAAGAACTGGTAATAAATCTCCCAAACCCTCTGCTTAATATGCACGACGCATGTCTTAAAGAAGGAATCTTCCCATGAAAATGGAATGCGAATTAGCAATGCCAAATTAGACCCCTCGAGTCCGGCGGCATACCGTCCCTTGTGTATGTTAGACACAGCAGGAAAGCTATTGGAAAAAGAAAAACCAAGGTTAGATGCAGCAATGGAGGAAGCCTGTGGATTAAGTGTACGACAATATGGCCTTAGAAAGGTTAGATCCAACATCGGCGCCCTGCACGATGTGGTGGAAGCAGCAAAGCTAACTCAGCATGGAAGTCATTACTAAAGACTGATTGTACTATTAGACACGCTAGATATAAAAAATGATTTCAATAGCGGCAGGTGGAGAGACATCATTAATACACTCGAAGGTCATTTTAAGAGAATGAATCGTAGCTATCTTAAGGACTGCAAACTAATATACCATACAAGTGGCGGCCTCAAAGAGATGACCATAATAACAGGTGCAGCTCAAGGAACTAGTTTAGGTCCAGACCTGTGGAACATTACTTACTTATATGCAGATGATGTTGCAGCGTTGAAACGGGCCCGAGAGACAAGGGATGCGCAACGAAAGCTGACGCAAGTCATGCTGCGCACACAAGACTGGCTAAGCTCCTACGGCCTCAATTTAGCGACCCAAAAACTGAAAAAGCTGTAACACAAAAAGCTGCAAAATCAGGTTACACTCGAAATTGACATTCAACGAACAATTAAAATACGCTACAAACAAAGCAGCGGGGGTCACAACAGCCTTAAGCAGTTTGATGGCGAACATTAACGGGCCCCTACCAGTGAGGCATAAACTGTTTATTGAAATAAGTCGCTCCATCCTTCTTTACTGAAGCGAAGTATGGGCAGACACTTTAAAATCGAAATGCAGAAGACAACTCATCATGACCGTACAAAGAACGATGTCACTCAGAATAATAAGCGCGTATCAAACGCTGCAGTTTTAGCAATAGCGGGCCTTAAACCAATCGACCTACTTGCCGATGAGCGCATGAAATACTGCATACTAAAATAATCTGAGAACCTCTCTCGAAGCAGAGTGGAAGTAATAAAAAATAATTCTATAGACGCCTGGCAGAGAAGATGGCGTTGAAGATGGACAGCGAGACTCATCCCAAATATACGAAAATGGATTGAAGGGACGCAGGGAGGCACGGTGAGGTACTACCTAACACATCTGCTATCCGGTCATGGATACTTTCGGAAATACCTCCACAAAATAAAAAAATTAGATAAACCGAGCTGTATCTATTGCAGCTGGTCTGATGATGATGCTGAACACACATTTTTTCAATGTGAAAAATGGTGCAGGGAACGTTCAGAAATAGAGGCTTTAATAGGTCCGGTAAGAACGGAGAACATACTAAATACCATGCTTCAAGAAGATAAGAACTGGCATACTGTAGCGACGTTTGTAGAAAGAATATTGTTTACAAAAAAAAAAAAAAAAAACAACATAATCTGGCAACTATAAGTCAACACGATACTGAAGTCTAACAAGAGAAGACGAGCCAATAGCTGGATGCAGGCTTCAAATGCTGCTCTTTCAAATACTTTGCAATCGCGGTTTTAGGCTTCATTAGCGTTGGGTTTGAAGATTTCATTAGACGGTAGAAGGTTTCGTATTAAGCCTTTGCTATCCCTGTCAGCTACGGCCTGATCGATCATCACTAAGGATCATTCATGCAAAATACTGAATACACGACGGTCCCTGATGCCCGGCGGTACCCTTAATATCCTCATTTCAAGCAGGGCATGAAGCCGAACTTTGTTTCCAAACGCCACTGTGCCGTTTTTTATAAAAAAAAGTGAGCAAAAGTTGGGAGCAACACATACCAAGAACAAGAGTAAGAGAGGGTGTGAGAGTAAGGGAGAGAGAGAGAAAGCAAAACAATTACGTTGCTCCTTGCAGTGCTCTCGACCTGTTTGCGCTTTTTAGAACACACCCATCGGTTAACCGACTTTTGACAGTTGTGTGAAGGAATAGCAGACCAGACAGAAAACAAAAGTAACAACAACAAACACAAGACCACATGGGATGCTGTGCCAGGCGCGCCCCCAAACTAAAATACCAAGTATCACACAGCTAGTGGCACCCAACTGACAAGCATGACACGAATGTCGTCGCCGGAAGAACAGCACAAAAGAGTGGCAAACAAAAACTAAGAAAAAAAAAATCAAAAGAAAACAAAACATACACACCACATCACAGAAATGGCAAAAGTGCACACATACACTTAAATGCAGATGAATGGCAAGAGAAACTGATAAATGGGCCGTTGAAAGTGGAATTCGGAAATGTGCTGGCTGTTGTAAGCGAAAAGCTTCGCAGGATGAATCAGTTGATTTGGAAGCAGCGTACGCAGCGTTTGTTTGTCGTGACGGACGGACGGACGGACTCAAAAGTTTTACTTTTTTTGGGTGAACAAAAACAAAAAAACAAAAAAAGAAAACGCAACTCAAAAGCACCTAAGGTGCCTAAATATACGCATACATACATATATACATGTAGAAGCAGTTGAAATAGTATTTGTGCGCGACTTGCGGTATGACTGCGAATACCGAAAAATTAGGAGCAAAAGGCTCTACAAAGTGGCGGCGCCTAACTAAATAGTACAAGTATTTAGTGAATGGGCGCCTGTGCTGGAAAAAGTGTTATGAAGTGTAATGAAATGAAGTGAAGCCAAGGAGATAAAATGCAATTAAGTATTGAGAAAAATTACGCCCAAATTTTCATAAAAGAACCGTGAATATTGCTTTAAAATGCGTAGCTTTGCATGCGAATTTTCACAAGGAGCACATGGTTAGCACATGCACACATATATACTCTTATTTGCCCACATACCTAAATATGTATGCAAGCGTATGTATAAGCAATTGTGCGCGTTGTCTAGCAATGCAGTTGACTAGCTTGTCAAATGCGAGTTACGCCCGCAAATACGCAAACGCATGTCTATGTATGCGTATCCTCAAATACAAGTATACGAATATATTCGCCTGCAAAAAAATGTGTTGAACATGTGCCAGTGTGTGTGTGTGTCGGTGTATACAAGTGCGCGTAAGTGCGTGTGTGCTGGCAGTTGTGGCATGCTTTAAATGAGTGTCGTGGCAGCAGCAGCAACAGCAGCAGCAGCAGCAGCGACTGAGTATGGCCGCAACATTACTAGACTGCCATAGTATGTAAATAAATGTGGCGAGTAGAAAATTTCGTATATGCAGACAGCGTAAATGCGTAGCGTAGATTTTGAGTGGATCAAGGCGCAAAAATCAACAGCCAAGGCAGCACTCATTGATAATAAGGTTAGCATGCTCAAATATATATAAAGGTATAAATAAGTACGTATGTACACATAAAGGTGATTGCTGTTAAAAAAATAGTATGCTTTTAGGCGTCTCAGCGCAGTTAATCTTACGCCTATAATTAAGAATTCTTACCTGCACATTTTACAAATTTGCAATATGATATGGTATGATCTGAAGTCTTGAAATCGATTAATCTGTCAATTAAAGTCATATCGAAATTTAGAGAGAAAAGACACAGACATACATATTAACCAAAAGACTGACCGATAGACACACAAGAATCGTAAAAACACTTCTTTGGGTCTCGGTTATGAGTTTAAAAAATCGGTGTATTTCGAAATAATTGAACGAGATTTTTTTTAGATTCAGATTGGTTTACAAAGCAATGTTACCTGTGTGAAAAATAAGGTCGAAAACAAATCGTGTGATCCCCGATTAAGGGTAAAAATAACCTGTTAAAAGTAATTTACCAAAATTTTCCATTTAATGCTGGATTTCCATTAGGCATTAATGGAAAAAATGACAAATGACAAAGTCGGGTATTAAAAAATAATAGTGCCATTACATTAAAAAAAAGCTTATTAAGTTCATTTCCACATGGCATTTTTTTAAAATGGCATACATTTTTGGTCATTTGAATGCCTAGTGGAAATCCGGCATAGGAGTTTATTCCTTTTTTTCCCACTTATGCCCTCGCTTTGACAATTAAAAACTTTTTTTAAGTACTGTCCGATATGTCTGCGGGTATTTCAACCATTTTAAGAAATATTTTTAACACAGCGTTTTTTTAGAAATTCTGAAAAATCACATCAGTCTATTTTTGCGTTTGTTGTTTTTTGATATGTCAATTTGGAATGGTAAATTTAGGTTCTTAAAAACCTGCTGCAGCCAAAAAGTTGAAGATGAATAGCATAAAATTTCACTATTGATTGAAGATATACTCAGCAACGATATACATAAATGTTCTGGCAAATAACAGAAAAAAATTTTCTCCAAACCTGAGAGCTTTTGTAGTTGTATATAAAAAGTGATTTACTAGAACTAAACAAACTGTTTTTTTTGCACAATCAATTAAAACATTTCACAGAAAATTATGCGTTTCGTTCTTCCAGCTGCGTACATTTAACATATTTACATCAAAATCAATTTTGTATAAAGAACAACGCGAAATTTTAATAAACGAAAACTATATACTTAAAAAAGCACAAATAACTATTAATGCTCATATCGATGGCTGAGTGGAAAATCGACCTATCTCGGCAGCCAGCTCGAGAACGCCCTATCTCGCGCTTCCTCAGAATTTGGTTGAAGAACGCCGTATCTCAAACAAAAATACATTAAAAATGTGCTGAGATAGGGCGTTTTTGAATCGGCTGCCGAGATAGGTCGATCTTTCACTCAGCCATCGATGTACTCGTAGTTGCATGTGTAACGTATACGCCGCGCAGCACCATACGAGGTCATATAACACGTTTACTCTCACGCCTTAACTTCAAAGTCATATTATTTAAAAGTAATTATATAATATTAGCATGGGAGATTTTTACGTAGTTACATAGTATTCCTTATGCTCATCTATATTACTTTCCTCCTTTATAGGCGGCATACACGGTGCGTCGGACTCGCGAGTCATTTGCGTACGTGTTGACTCGCCGTCGCCTACACACAGGTGAATCATTCAGAGACTTGACCGGGAGTCATGTCGGTGTAACTAACCCATATTTACTTTCGCAAACACATTCAAACCGACTCGCGGGTCAGACACATTGTGTAAGCCGCCTATTAATTATATAACAGTTTTAGAATGAATTTCGAATTTGCCAATAAAAATTGTAAAAATGGAATATCGAGAATGTTTTCGCATTTTTATTCTACTGAGATGATACTAAAAACCACTTGGGAGATTTGCTCATATACGTTTCTAAATACTGAAACATGTTTTGACGTAGAATACGTCTTACCTTAAGGTATGGGGGCTATGTTCAAATGTTGTAGTTGTAATTTTTAGAGCTTCACAAAAACGCTTATTGCACGAGAACTAATAAAGCGATTTCAAAGAAAAGTGTGGCGTTTCAAAGATAAAATTCCAAACCTGTCGACAGATTCATTTTTGTAAATAACCAATTCGGTTTCTGTCGTAAAAACAACGGTAAACATTGCCTTATTTTGGGGTCAATTTTGAGCCTTTAAAGTGCTCTAGCAACTTATTGTTGGCATATATAACTTTCATTTTCGGGATATAGGTTCTTTGGAGCAGTAGAAATATTACCGGGTACAAATTTTATATAAATTTAACAAATATTGAGCATTTTAAGGCAAAAAATTGTTGAAAAAATTTGCAAATTTTTTTCATTACCAAAATGCTCGAAAACCGCTCGAATGATTTTGTTTTTGTTTTCAAAAATTCAAGAGTTTTGCTTTCGTTTGGTATATGGGAAGTATTGGTTGATATCTTCTATATATGTTTATTTTATTCAAATATATGGGCATAAATGATTTTCCATACAAAATCACCTCGTCATCATTTTGCAAACACGTGCATATGTTGGAAGTGTGGGAAGGAGACAAAAAGTATGTATGCGTATGTAATGCGGCTTTTGATCGCAGCGTATGTACATATGTAAATGCATATATACGTACATATGAAAGTTTCAGTTAATGTGGATCTGTTTGGTTTTGTTATCGATATTTTTATCGATTTTGTTATCGATTTTGCCATCGATTTTGTTATCGATATTTTTATAGATTTTGTTGCCGATATTTTAATCGATTTTGCCATCGATATTTTTATCGGTTTTGTTACCGATATTTTCACCGATTTTGTTATCGAAATTTGTATCGATGTTGTTATTGATTTTGCTATCGATATTTTCGGAACTTATCGATATAATGATCGATATTTTTATCGATTTTGTTATCGATTTTGTAATCGATTCTGTTATTGATTTTATTATTGATTATTTATCGGTTTTGTTATCGATATTTTTCTTGATTGTTTTAACAATTTTGCTATCGATATTGTTATCGCTTTTGTTATCGATATTTTTGTCGCTTTTGTCATCAATATTTTTATCGATTTTTCTATAGATATTGTTATCGCTTTTGTTGTCGGTATTTTTATCGGTTTTTTTACCGATTTTGCTATCGATATTGCCATCGCTTTTGTTATCGATAGTTTTATCGATTTTTTATCGAATTTATTACCGATTTTGTAATGGATTTTTTGATAGATTTTGTTATCAATTTTGTTATTGACTTTGGAATCGATTTTGTTATCGATTTTGTAATCGATTTTTCGATAGATTTTGTAATCGATTTTTTATCGATTTTGTAATCGATTTAGTTAACGATTTTGTTATCGATATTTTTATCGATTTTGTTATCGATTTTATTATCGCTTTTGTTATCGATATTTTTTTCTTAGTTTGTGCTTTCGTTTTTGACTTGGATATGCTCTTAACCATACCACGTATTCTACGTTTAAATTTAGCGGGTGTATCTCCGATACAGCCTGCAGACCAAGACGAAGGCGCTGGACTGTTCCTTTTTTTTAAATTCTTTTGCTGACTTCAAAAAAAAGGAGGAGATTATCATTTCATCGATTTATTTTTTCTGTTTTTTTTTTTTATATATATAAGAAAACAAATTATTCGGCGGACAAAATGCATAAGACTTAGACACGACGTAATTTAAATGAAAGTAGATGAAATTCTACATCACTATTTAATCAAATATTTGCCTAGAAAATTACCGTCTCCTTGCAATATACTCTTAAAGTTGTCGCTTTTTCTGTTTTATGTGCCCAAAGTGATAAACGTGATTTAATATTTCATATTTCCAAGCTATTTCTAAGTTATTTCCCAACGTTTATGTTTTACGTTGCTTGATCCAACGTTTACTTTTTACGTTGTCTGATAAACTTTGTGAGATAAGAATATTGACGAAAACGGCGATGAATAAGAAGATAAAGATGATGAAAATAAAAGAGGAGGAGTGAAATAACTATTATCAGACAACGTAAAAAATAAACGTTTGGTAATAACTGTTATCAAGCAACGGAAAAAATAAGCGTTGAGATATAACAGTTATCAGTCAACGTAAAAAGTAAATGTTGGATTTTAACTCTTATTGGCGAGATTAAAACTATTTCTCATCTAATAACTGTTATGGAGTAACGTTTTTCCGTTACAACTTATAACTGTTATTTTTTTTTTAAAGCGAGTTTCGCTGCATGACAAAATAAATATACTCGCGGATTGCGATTGTACATTTCAAGCAAATTTAGCTTTTCTAAATCAACAATTTGCAAAGTAAAAAAACAAAAGGCGCAAATTTTAGCCAGCACTACAAGTTCTACGAAACGTCGCTTGACAATGAAGTGGAGAATTCTTTAAAATGGCAGATGCACTTCATCAGTGGTTTTTAACTCAACGAAAATGTCACTTTCCAGTAGGCGCTATGCAACTGAAATGTATAGCGTGCGAGTTGCATAAGAAATTGTACAATAACACATTTTTTGCGAATGATGGTTGGCTTACAAAATTAAAAAAAAAAACGATACGGAATCAGACTGCTGAAGGAATCTGGTGAAAAATTTTCCTCTAGCAAAGAACTTTTATCATTAAGGAGCTAGCGAGTGTGATAGAGAGACATCCTCTTTCACATGAAGCAGTGTTTAAACCGTGCAAATCTAGCCTTTTGGAAAATGCTACCAGACAATTTCCAAGGTCCATGAATCAGAATATGATTAAGCTATTGTACATCATTATCGCACCAGCTTATTGTCATTGACTGTGACCTCAGTGGTACATATGTCTTGAAAGTCTTGCCTCAAGCAAACCAACTTATTCCAAGCAGTTTTTTTACTTGCATTGGCGTGGAAGAAAGTATCCGAGGATTCATTAAAAAAATGCTGGAACAGAATTTTTAATGACGCCGGATTCGGCGAAGTGGGCGATGTTCCTCTTTCCATTACTTCAGCAATGAGTTTGCAGATC